AAATTTGGTTACCCACGTCGACTACATCATGACCAGGGTCGTGAATTTGAAAACTCACTCTTTCGCCGTCTTGAGCAACTCAGTGAGATTAAAGGTTCCAGAACGACCCCATACCATCCACAGGGAAACGGACAAGTCGAACGCTTCAACCGGACCCTGTTGTCGATGCTTCGTACTCTTACCACTAACCAAAAGAACGACTGGAAGCAACATTTAAACAAAGTTGTTCATGCTTATAATGTCACTCGTCATGAAAGTACAGGTTATTCACCCCACTTTTTGTTATATGGACGTTCACCCCGGTTACCGATCGATTTAGCATTTGGATTGTCACCGGATGGACACTCTGATGAAAAAGAATACCATGAGTATGTTAAGAAGTGGAAGAAGAGAATGGAGGAGGCCTACAACTTGGCTAGGGCAAATGCACAAAAGTTAGCTGATAGAAGCAAAAGGCGACATGACAATCAACGATCAATCAGTAAACCTTTGACACCAGGAAGTAGAGTCTTGATCAAGAATTGTGTCCCTCCTGGTGGTCCTGGTAAACTCCAAAGCTTTTATGAAGACAAGGTACATGTAGTGGTATCTCAAAAGCATGATTTACCCGTATATGAATTACGTCCAGAAGATGGAAATGGTAGATTACGAATTCTACACAGAAACTTGCTTTGTCCCTGCGATGCTTTGGTGGTGGAACCTTCAAGTGATGAGTCGAAAACCACAACAAAACAAAAGAAGACCCCGTACCATAGATCACTGAGAACTAATAAGACAGAAAATACTGGAGTACATCTATATGAAAATTCTGATTCGGATGATGGAGAAGATGAGGTGGATCTACCATATCCTCTGTTGGATAACCTCACACAAACGAACCAAGGGGCTTCGACCAGTGTTGATTTACAAACTCAACAACAACCGGTAGTAGATGTACCACTAGCGGACCAGATGGGGGCAGAAGGTAACACACCTTCACCTTCTTTATTACATGACCATGCCAACAGTCCTGATGTCATTGTACCAGATGTAGAAACTGGACGTCCTGTTCGGCAGCGGCAACCTCCAAAAGTATTTACATATGAAAATTTTGGATCACCTGCACCACAATGTATGCAGATTGCGGGAGATAACCAAGTTACACTACCAAACCAACATTTGAATCACTACTGGAATGGACCAAGGCAATTTTATCCACAACAATATCACCAGAGTTATCAAAATCAGATAAGATACGCACCACAATTCACTGAATTTCATCCGAATACACCGTGGGTACCACCCGTTCATCCAATGTTCAATTGTCACCAGCCACCCATTTCTAACTAGGAAATTTGACAAATGTTTAAGAAATGTTTTATAACGGACAAACACAGATGAACATGACTATTTTTAACTTGAGTTG